CGTCCGTTTTCGACTGTCTTTATATCGTTGAGATCCGATCAATGAGATATTAAATTATCATTTAGGTTGTGTCAACTAAAAATTTATCAATCTAAAATTCGAATTTCAGACTGTACACAATTATGCTAAATCTTAGAAAAATCATAACTTCCTCGTACGAAGTCAGATTTGGATGTTTTTTTATACACGATCTCGATTTAACGTATACTACGACTTTCTTTTAAATCGCTAAGGCTAAAAAGTAATTTATCAAAAATTCACTTTTTACGTTAAGTGGAGCTGTGCCGTTTTTGTCGGAAAACTTCGACGGGTCATAACTTCTTCGTTATAATTCGGATTTCAGCATTCTTTATATGTACAAAACCTTGTGACAAATACTATAATGTAGTTAAGATTATTTATTATAAACATTCTTCTATCAAAAAGTCATTTTTAACACTTATTATCTCTAATTTAACTTGCTCGAATCTGCGAGCGTTACAATTATCTCCCCCTTAGGATGATTACGTTACAGAATCATCAACGAAACATGGCTTGTATAATGACTCCATATATTTTCTTTTCATCCTACGTAATAACCGTAACTCCTATGTTCATTCGAATGAGTATCTAACTCTTGGACTTCTTGACTGCAGGTGGTGCTCGATCTTGCACTCGATCTTCGTTCTATGTTAGACTTTCAATTGTACCCTTAGAGTTAGAAAATAAGTCCTTATTGGAGATTCCTGCTCCTTCTTAAATTAAGATAAGTTCTTTACTTCGACTATCGTAACAGACCGATGGATCATGTTCTAATGACCTCTTATCGTATGGTGCAACGCTTAGAATCAAGTCTTTTTGAGTCAGATTCTAGAATGATATATACTTCCTTCATTTTCTAATGTGATATAATCACATTCTAGCATGTAGCACTTGTATCTACAAGCTTCTTACTTTAACGAAGATCGTGATACTTCTACTGATCGCTCCGATTATCTTTCCCTTCAATCTTCTTGCTTAAGTTGGATACTACATCGAACTTGGTTCTCTGAACCATGTAACACACTCATCTTAGTCAGACTCAATTTGATATGACCACTAGGGTTGGATTAATCATCCTCCTAGTCATTACTGAAACAATGGTAAAGGCAGGCATGAATAAAACATAATCAGTTACTAGTGCCTTGGTAACCTTGTGACTTTTCATGATCCAAGTGCGAGTCATGTGCTTCCGGTAGTATAGGCCTCTATTTCCTTTCACACCTACTTATACTTGTCCTAAGTATTATCTCGCAGTCCCCAAGTTCTTATTTCCTAAAATCACAAAAAGTCCAAATAATCATAAAAATTTCCCTAGACTCTTCTAGGACTTCTTCCATGCGTATCTTCAATCATCAATTCTACTTCAACTCGGTTGGTGGCGGAAATGCGAGACGGTGAGATAACTTCATGGATTATAACAAAAGTTCCTTATTTATTTATGCTAATCGAAAGTGTACTTATCCCGTACTAGACATATTATTTATTAGACGCATTCTAAAGGCAAGATACCTCACTTATGATATCTTCCGATAAGTGTCATTCATTATCGTAAGCCTCTTCATTTCCTCCGCTTACTCAATTCGCTACAAGCCTTCACCATGATGTTACATTCACAGAAGCATACATTCATCATATCGGGACGAGAATATAGATAAAGGAAGGTTTTGATGCATATTCCTCCTTATTACTCTGAAAAGTAGCATGCCAGTTCTAATATCGTAATTAAACGTTTAGAAATCTGAATACATAAAATTTCCAGATCTGGTCGGCAATAGACCATAGATCCGATCAAATAATAACATATAAATCATTTAGCACATAAAAACAAAATTAGGCGTCTTTCCTAAAATAAGCTAGTGCTCGTGTCTAAAATATAGCAGACACTCATCTCTCAATCATCGCTAATCATTCTAAGTTTAAATCTAGAAATTTCCTACAATTCCTAGTTCGCTTAAACTAATGCTCTGATACCAACTGTGACATCCCCAAATTCACGGTCATTTTAAAAATTTTATTTATGCTTATTTGAAAATCAGAGTATTCATTTTAAAGAATAATATTGAGGAATTTGTTCCCAGAAAACATGAAAAATATATTATCAAATCATTTCCAAAGAAATGTATTTTGTTTATATAAAAACTTTGGGATGTCATCGTCAATACAGAAACATAAGCATAAACAAACCTTATATTAATTTACAATAATGATTTACATCTCCTTTAATCTTTTAGTGTAATGTAGCTTCATATCTACACATGTGATACAAATAAACTGAGTGGGTCAGGTTAGGAAACCTGGTGAGTACATAGGGTTTCAACCCACAATAATAAAGTTATTATATTTCATTATCAAACAATTAACCCAATTACCCATCCCCATTATCTTCTTTATTCTTAAGTATCTTCCCTAAGAATCATCTATTCGTCAATATTTATTCCTAAGGATTGACCTAAGGAATATGCATGAAGTCCATCGCTGCCAAGGTTTATATAACAGGATCTAAGTCCATAGCTGCCGATGTTATTTGTTAGGCACTAAGTCCATAGCTGCCAGGGTGTATCTTTTTTATTGACAATATTATTTTAGGGAGTTCACCCACAATACATGTCAATGGGTTTTTAGAGTACATCTGATGAACATATCGTTCACAACACCTATAGGTTGGGAGCCTGCTAGTGTTCCACTAGACTGTCTAGAATAGTCCGTGGTTGTCTTCTATACTCTGATAGATGACTGGGCCATCGCTTGGGACAATGATTCTCATCATCTTTCACCTCTCATCATCTATATCATCTTTTCATCTCTCATCATTCATCTCTCATCTCATCTCATCTTTAATCTACCATCTTTGCCCATCATAATTATAGGTATAAAATACATATACAATTTAAATCGAATAAAACATGTATATTTTATTCATCCAACATAGATATAAAGAACACAGATAATATGCACACATAGCATGTAGTTTATATAAAATACTTCATATCTATATGTAAGATGAAAGTAACTATGCACTCACTTGTTAAAGTGATGATTCTAAAATCGGGCAGTGCTTCGCTTCTAAAAATTCTATTTTCCTTCGATGAAACCCAATATCATTACTGCTAGATTTTAGTCTAATATTTACAGCGAATATTTATGAGTGATATTGTTTTATATGTTAAACAATACTTTTCAACCACTATTTACAGGCAGGTGTCATACATGAAACAACGGAGGGCAGGAACATTTTGACATTTAATCACTTCTGAAATCCAGCAACCCTATGCGTCCCTTCAAACCAGATTCCCCGTACCGCGAATAGTTAAAAGATATTATAATAACACTTTATATATATATATATATATATATATATATATATATATATATATATATATATATATATTGTTTATAAGTTAATAATAATGATATTGAACTTAAACATAAGATATACTTAAAGTAGGGTAAGCATAACTAATTTATTAGGAGGTTTGGCTAGGAACCAGGATCTCTGGGGGGAAAAATTCTGAGCCAAAAGCTCTTCTTCTCGGAGCCTTCTGGCGCTCCGGGACTCACCTCTAGCACTCGGGAAGTGCTAGGGAATGAGAGGGGCTAAAGAAGGGTGTTTGAGAGAGAAATAATGGGAAATGTGTGAGTTTTTGGGGTGATTTGTGCCTCTATTTATAGGCTAAGTCCGGTTCAAACGTGGGGAGTTCTCTTGCTGAATGGGCATTCGTGGCCAGGTGTCATCATCTGGTCCCAAGCCGTGGTGAGGAAGCAGTGGCTCAGATTGTGCCATGTATCGCTCGCAGGTTACTCCAGAAACTAATTATCTTCTAAAATCCGTAGCTTTTGCATACGAGATCCACTTTTGACATTCTTTATATCCACACGTAGGTATCGACGGGATCTACAACTTTCGTTTAGACTCCGTTGACTAATTTTGAATTTATTTTTAAAGTTATATTTTAACAAACTTAGACAGTTAAAATTTGTTAAAAATTCATAACTTTGTCATCCGACGTTCGTTTTCGACTGTTTTTATATCTTTAAGCTCCTATTAATCAGATATTCAGTTTTCATTTAGGCTGTGTTTGCTAAAAATTGATCGATCTAAATTTCAAATTTCGGGCGGTGCACTAGTATGCAAAATCTTTAAAAAATCATAACTTCCTCATACAAAGTCAGATTTGGACGTTCTTTTTATGCATTTTCTCGGTTTAACATATACTGCAACTTTCATTAAATTTCTAAGGCTAAAAAGTAATTTATCAAAAATTCACTTTTTACGTTATGCGGAACCGTGCCGGTTTTGTCACAAAACTTCGATGGATCATAACTTCTCCGTTATAAGTCAGATTTTAACGTTCTTTATATATACGAAATCCTTGTGACATATATTATAATTTGGTTAAGATTATTTTTTTACAAAAATTATCTTCTATCAAAAAACCATTTTTAACGCTTATTATCTCTAAATTGACTAGCCTGCATCTATGGAAGCTACACTTTTCATGGCTTCATCTGGCTTTCCTTAAGTTTGAAGAGAAGGGTTTGGCAGAAAAGAGAGAGAGAAAGAGAGAGAGAGAGAGAGAGAGAGAGAGAGAGAGAGAGAGAATTTTTTTTGAGGAACAGTCAGATTTAAATGGCAGATGAAGTTGTTCACGCCTTCAAGTGGGAGATTTTTAGAGTATGAATTCTTGTCCAATGATGATGCTCATGGATGATGCTAATGGAAGATGCTCATGCGATGATGCTTATGGAAGATGCTTATGCAATGATGCTCATGGAAGATGCTCATGCGATGATGCTCATTGAAGATACTCATGAAATGATTCTCATGGATGATGCTCATTGAAGATGCTCATGAATGATGCTCCTGGATGATGCTCATGGAAGATGCTCATAGAATACGCTGATGCGATGATGCTCATGGATGATGCTTATGGAAGATGCTTGTGGAAGATGCTCGTAGATGATGCTCATGGATGATCTTCATGAGGCTGAAGATTCTGTGCAGCGCCCACATGGTATTATGTGATTGGTTGGTATTCAGGGCATCCCCTTTACACACTAATTATGGATGGGCCTGACCCATAAGAACTAGGGTTTCTCATGCTTCCCTATAAATAGACTCATATCCTCATCATTTTTAGTGTCTAGATTTGTATGATTGCTCAAAGTGCGATATAATTTTGAGTGTTTGTAATAGTTCCAGAAAATTAGTAAAATCATCTTTCTCTTTCTTTCTTTCTTTCTTTCTCTCTCTTTCTCTCTCTCTCTCTCTCTCTCTCTCTCTCTCTCTCTCTCTCTCTCCATGGACGTAGGTCACCTTGACCGAACCACGTTAAATATTGTGTTAACTTGATTTATGTTTTTAGAAGTTTTATTTTCACAAGCTCACCGGAGTATGTTTGATATTTATCTAAAGTATTTAACATTTTTTTGTTGTCACTCAACAATCTCACAATGACACCCACAACGATGTATAAGAGGAACATAAACAGTTTGAAGTTGTCAGTAAGTAAAATTGGGGCGTGCGCGGGGGGGGGGGGGGGGGTGGTTCTTAGTCCATATTTTAGTTCATAGAAATTAACAACTGTCTTTATTTATTTTATAATAAAATATGTTATGTTTATTAATGATTTGTTATAATAATACACATTAGTTCAAAGGTAATTAAAAAAATCTCAATATTTTGGTTATTGATTAAAAACAATGTAATTTTAAGAAAAATCACAATATTTAGACCAAATTGACAAAGACAAGACAAAATTTTCCAAAAAATGTTTTTTGTTTGAAGTTGTATTTCTTTGGTTAAATCTATGAAACAAGGCAAAAAATATGAAGTTTTAGTAAATAATCTATCTTTTTATATAAAAGTAATTAATTTATAATTAAACTGTAAACCGAAACTAAAATATCTTGATTTATGAGATTTTCCTTCATGGTTGTGTTTTTGTAACTGATGTTGGATCAGTTTCGATTACATTTTTATTTTGATTACGTTACTTATTTCCAATGGTTAAGAATGATATGTAACTCCACAATTACTCATTTCATGTCTAAATGTCTTAATCCTAAAATCATATTATAATGACAATAGATTTTGAGATAAAATATGTGTATGTGGATCTCACACTTATTCATTTATGGTCATGGATTTCAAATTATCACAAATACTCTTACCTTAAAAAAAAGAAAATTTGTTGGTTATATTTATTCAAACAACCAATAAATCATTTTTACATTACCACTTAAGATTTTTATTTATCCATATAAAATATATATTTTAGTAACTTATATAATCGCTATAATAATATTGTATCTAATGCATCTAAGTTTTTAAATGGAAAAATCACTTCCATTTTTATAGTTAGTGTTTGGAAAAATGGATGGTTATATCATATACAGTATTTCTTATCTTAAATTAATAAACATTAGTCCACCAATGATGCACCTAAATTTGAATCTAAATTAGATTATTCATAAATATCTTTTAAATGATTACTCAAATCGGCATATTTACCTTTTTTTTATTAAATAAAAACATTAATAGATTTGAATTTATAGAAAGTAGTGGGCCCCAAGAGCACCAACCGAAGACTCTGTGATGATTTGATTTTGTTTCCAAAATTCTCAACCAGTCCAGCATGCATATGGCAATGGGCCCACTCCAAAGATATGCTCTCATGGATGCGACCCCACAGTAACAAAAAGAAAGCCTGGCCCACACAACCAAAAAAAGTGAATAAAATGTTTCAGTAGAGTACAATCATTCGCGACCATCAATCCAAAAATCAAAACCAAAACAAAACAGATGGCATAATTATTATATTTTATTTTATATTATATATAATAACATTTTTTTTTTGAAAATTTCATCTTTTTAAGTTTTAACCCATTCCTAATTATTATTTAAAATCTATAATAGTTGCTGATTGAACGAATTTTTTTTTTTTTTTCCCTTTATCAAACACAATGCAAAACATATGAAACAACCGATAAGTTTGAAAAAAGGACATGATTTGAATCGTGTGTGATAAGCATTTGTGGTTGCTTTTTTTGCACTTGAATTTTGGATTTACCTCAAAACGACTCCAACAAACATCATATCATAACCACTGCAATTATTTAGTCCCCTACACACTTCCCCAAAAGATCAAAAGTAGTCCCCCAACATTTTGATTATCCCAATAAACCCCCCTCAACTTTTGTCTTTTTCTTCTTTTTTTCACTGACTATTTCTTCTTAGCTTTATTCTCCTCCTCTCTTTCTTTCGCTTTCTCTTTACCCACTACAACTTTGCCTTTGTGTGTCTCGAAATTCGTGCTACCGGCGCACACCTAAACAAGCACAACGTACAACTTCAATAGCACGATCGACGTCTACATATATACACATTTGCATATCATTCAACATATCATATCATACGCCATGAAAGTGGGCGACCTTCGCTTCAGATTTTCACTGTAAATCTGTTTTCTTTCGTCATCAATCGCATTGTCAAACTGTATACCATGAGAATGTATGTCGTTTACTCGAAATTCTCACTGTAGATAAGTTTTCCGTCGGCGGAGTTCAGTTCTCTCCGGTGATCGTTAAAATGGGCGATCTTCACTCAATTGCGTACTTTAGCAACCAACATAGCCATCGCACTCCCCTGAGTTGGGAAATCTACAATCATCAACTTCTCAACACAGACATTTCTCACTGTAATTTAACATTCCGATAATTATATCTATATGTGTCATGTGTGTGTGTTTGTGTGTGTGCATGGCGATAATAAGTCGTAGGTTATGGTGCAGGTATGGAGACGAAGGATACTCAACCATTCTACGATCAATCTCTGTTAAATTCCGATCTCTCATCGGGTTATTTAGAGGATGCGTTGTTTGAATTCAGCTCGAAACGACGCCGCTTGATGATGACACCTGATGATCACCATATAACCAGTTACCAGAATTCAACTCCTCCTTCATATCCGGTAATTCTTTGATACTTACTTTTTGAATTTCATAAATTATAAGATTTTTTTCTTTTTTGTGGTTGGTATATATCCCTTAGATTTCATGTCTTGATTCAAATTTTCCACAGAGCTACTGGGATTTCAATTCCACTGATGACTTTGACAATTTCAGTGGGGTTAATGGTATGAACATGACACTTACTTTTATTTTATTTAATTTGCATTGAATTATTATTCATTATTTTAAATATGTATATAATTGCAGTAAGCGGGAATAACTCAACTTCATCTTCACAAAGCAAGACTTCAATCAACAGCCAGTTTCTCTCTGAAAAGGAAACCCTAAGTTCATCAGATCACGTCACTGGTACCCTTCTCTCTCTCTCTCTCTCTCTCTCTCTATATATATATATATATATATATATATATATATATATATATATAAATTGAAAATGTAGTAAACCTCAGCTGCATGATGATGATGATGATGGTGTGATGATGATGTTTTTGAATCACATACCACTCATACTTTTGACGAGTCAATGTTTGACTTAATGAACAAATGTCAAGTTTAATGGATATTTTATACAAAAATATATTTTATCTAAAATATTTTTGGTTGGAGCAAAATTGATGTTTTTTATAAATATTTTATTAATATTCTATTAAAACTTATATTTTTGGGCATCTCAAATCATATAATGTTATATATATTCTATAAAGTTAAAGTATTATTTTTACGATTATGATATGCAAATACAAAATTATATTTTAGTTCTATAAATCGCTCTTAAGATTAAGCTTTCCTTATTCTTTAACTATTCAAGGGAGGGATTTCATTCTCAGTTTACTAAATTATGTATCAAATTTATATATTTTTTAGTATTATAGTTTTTGGTTGTGAACAATAACCATATGAACATTAAGATATAATTATATTTAAAAGAAATAGAGAATTTATGTATAATATTGAAAATTTCTTTTTTACAGAAAACTAAGAATACAGTTTGAATTAAAATCCCTTTTGACAATGGCATTTTCTTTTCCTTTGATAATGACATTTCTTTTTATAACATAAAAAAATTGATATATATATATATATATATATATATATATATATATATATATGATAATTTTATGGGGTATTTTAAATGAACGTTTATGTGTGTGTTGGTGTAGTGTGTGTATTGACCTTGATACACACACTTCTCATCATGTTGGAGTTTTTAGTGACACTGTAAAGTTTATTTGTTACTAGGTGGAATTGAGGAGCGAAAAAAGAAGGCGATAACAAGAGTGGTGTACCCATTTGCATTAGTAAAGCCAGGAGGATTTAAAGGCGATATGACACTGAATGACATTAACGAAAGAATCCTAATGCCACCGACGAGACCAGTTAGACATCCGGTTGGGGATTTTGCTTGTCGGCCGTTGGTTTCATTAGATGGACCTGGACTCTCCGGTAAGGAGGTGGTGGCTCTCACCAGAATACAGACTCATGGAAGAGGCACAATCACCATTATTAGAACCAAAAATTAAAATTATATATATATATATATATATATATATATATTATATATATATATATATATATATATATATATATATATATATATATATATATATATATATATATATATATATATTATGAACAAATGTTTTGTAATTGTGTCTCGTACAAAGTATAAAAAAACTTTACGGATATAATATCAATCGTTTATCAATTCTGGTGATAATCATGCTAGTTGAATAATGATCTTGGTGATAATCTTAAAATTTTATAAAAATGTGTATTTTATATAAGGATATTTATAAAAATAATCATTTTATGTCATTGTCAGAAGTTAAAATAACCATGATATTTTATATTTTTCAGAAAAGAAAAAAAAAATTCTTTATGTTTTCAATAACATATTGTATTCGTTGTGGAAAATCTCAGTTTAATAAAACATTTTGGATAACTAACAATGTTTCAAAATACCAAAACATTAGGGATGTTATAATTAATACAAACATATGTTACATCGTAAAGATATATTAGTCATGAATACTATTACATGTTGTCTTTTATTCACTCGCCATTCCTATTCACTACCAACAACTTTAGGATCACTATTTTTTATGCATATAAATTGAGTGAGTCAGATTTGGGAACCTAGTGAGAGATATAAGGGTTTCAATCTCAAAATATTATAATAAAAATAAATCATATTTAATAATCTTACAAAACAAAGATTACCAAACAATATTGATATATAACACAACCTAGATATCTATAAGACAATCTACCAATAGTTACCGAGTCCAATCGATTCTCACATAACTAGTCAACAACCATCAAGAAGAATCACCTTACTGAATCATTGTGAACAATGATGTGACTACACAGCTAGGGGGTTCCTTGGTCGGTGTTAAGGCATAAGCCAAATAAGATTTGTTTAGAGTATTTGAAGAATATGATATCATATGATTCTTCTATGTCTGCAGGTTATAAATCAACACTGCCAATGTAATTTACAAAACCATCTAGAATAATCAAGTGTTGTCATATTACTATGATGGATGGCCTAGATACACCCATTCATTGTCTGATTCAGACACACCCCTTCGCTGTCTGAAGGAGGCGGAATACTACACTCTGTTTCCTATCTCACACATTACCACATAATGCGACAACTCGATATTCAGTTTAATTTGAACTAAGCATATAGATAAATAAGTCTTAGTTTATAACTAGAGAAAATTGCAATACATGTAATTAACTTCAAATACAAATTTCTTGTTCATGCAATACTAATCAAAATAGAGGGTATATATTTAGCATAAAATATAGATAGTAAGCATTTATTATACATTTAATCTTTAAGTAACAAACACTTGTATTAAGATTTTGTGTCAAGAAAGTAACTAAACACTCACCTTATTAAAAGTGGATGATGTCCGGGTAAGTTAGCTCTTCATCTAACATTTTTGTTTCCCCTTTTAAATGACCTAAATACAAATATTACTAAGTTTTAGTTTTTGTTTATATTTAGTATTCAAGGTTATATTAATGATTTCCCAGATTGTTCATTAATCCCACTGAATACCAAGTTCTATCTAATACATAATGACCAGGTAAGATGATATTAGAGGTAGGATTCATTTGGTATACTAATATACTGTTTGGAAATCCACTTTAAAAACCTTACTAACGGGTATTACTGATTAATCTTATTTATATGTTCATAACAATGACAATCAACACAATATAAGTTACTCTTAAGAAGTATAGTAAGTGTAACTCACCAAACTGAATCATCTAGCGAAAACTTGGAATTTCTCGAGTGTGACCTCGTCACTAAATCTTTTTTCTTAAAAGATTCTCAACACTCCTGCGATTTGCTAACGATACTAAAGACTGAAGAAATCAAATCATAGGGGAATGAAATCTGGAGACTGGAGAAAGAATTCGACTAGAATTAGCAATGAACAAATGAAGGGTAGCTTGACAGTGTTTATATTCACGAGTTCGTATTCACAATTACTATAACTTTTATATAGATTATTTCATTCTATAACACAAGTAACTCAAATATTATTGATATAAAAATAATTTATATAAACACATATCATGTATGAAGGATTTTTATTTATTTATTTATAATAAAATTTACATTATTAACTAATGTAAATAAAAATTATTCTAAGAAATGCTTTAACGAAAAACGTAGGCGTCACGTTAACTGCAAATGTAGGATTTTGAATCCAGGTAATCCAATCAATATGCAACTATAGTTTCCAAAAGTAAACCAATTGAACGAGAATAAGACTACTTTCTCAAAAAGTATGTCTCTATAAAACATTATAGAACAAAAATGACAACATTATGATCATTTCAAAGGACCCATATAATGGTCATCCAAATTGATTCTAACATCAACTTCATCAATGCACCATGTTATGGCCATCAATCAAATCAAATAACTCCATAACATGTGTAGTAGCAGGAAAAGAAATATTGAGCCACTTTCCAACATAATTCCAAATTGAGAAGCAACCTCATAAAACAAAAATAAACTTTAGGTGTCTTCCAAGAATTTCCCACAAGGACATAAAATAAAACCTATGTTAACTAACCTATTGAGAAAATTACTTGGAGCAGTGATGTTATCAAGAAAGACTCTCAAAATAAGGATATTTACCTCCTGGAGACATAAATATTCAAACTTGTGGGAGTATTGATGTTGCTTAACATCACATTGCCAATATATTTTCTACTTGAGCTAACTGGAAATTCTTATGATATATTCAAAGTCCATTCCCATGCATCCCTTCTATATGTAAGACTAAATCAGAAATTAGATGCAACATGTTTTGGAGTTGCAAATTATTTCCTCCTCCTGTAATGTCATTGCCAAACCCACTCATCATATTCTCATCTGTCTTTACTCATGCAATCTTTATCATTCTCCAACGTAACGAGCCCAGGAAATTTGTCCCTTAATATAAATCCCCAATCCATACATCTCTTAAGAACATGGTACACCCCCCCATACGCCATTAAAACACTATTATTTTTTACAATGGCTTTATCATGGAAGTTGTTTATAGACCCAATTATTTTGCCCAAGCACCGAGGATTTTAATTCTACATCCCTCATACGTCATTAAAGCACCTCGTTATCATGCATGTTGTTTATAGAACCAATTATTTTGCCCAAGCACCAAGGAATTTAATTCCATCTATAGTAGGCAGAACACCACTATCCCTCCTGTGAATATTTGTGAGCGTCTTTATCCAAAGAGAACTGCCTTGTTTTAAAAGATTTCAACACCATTTTTGCAAGAGAGCATGGTTAAATATGAAAGAATCCGAACACCATGACCATCATTAGCTAATTAGCTACAGTTAAATCATATTATCCATGAAATATGTATTTTATTCAAATATCTCCAACCCAAAACAAACTCGACCTCAATGATTCAAGAAAGTTGACAATGTTTCAAGCACTTGCAAAAAATAGATATATAGAAATATCTAAACTCCTGAGCACTTCCTTTACCAAAGTCAAATGCCTACCAAAATAAAGAATTTTAGACTTCCGCTTGGATCATCTATTCTTGAACTTGTCTATCATAACCAAACAACTTCCAATACACATATTGTCCCTAATAGGAATACTAAGATCCTTGAAAGGAAAAAATGCAACCTTACAACATGTTAGAGCCTCAAAATTTGGAATATTGGTTGAGTAACTGTAACATTGTAAATATTTCATTTATGCAAATTAATCCTTAATCTAGCACAAGGTAAAAAAATTGTAAAATTTTGACCAAATTCTAAATATTTTCTCACATCATCATCCAAAAAACAATGTGTAATCAAGGTATAAATATGTGAATGAGTCAATCCATCATTATCGATCCTCACACTCATAAAAGCACAATGTAGAGTCCCGATATAGAAAAATAAATAAAAGGCGATAACTGATCACCTTGTTACAACCCATTATGTAGTTGGAATTTCATCATTAGACCCCCATTCGTTATAACCGAGGACCTGGCAGGTTTTCTAGGTTACAATCAACATATTTAAACATCATATTTTAACAAAAAACACTTGTGGGTACATAAAATCCTCTTGATTTCTTCCTTGGAAAGGAAGCACCAATAATGTGTATGCCTCTAATGGTTCACACCCAAACTCTAGAAAAACCATAGGATCAAAATTTAGGAGAGAGACGGAGAAGAAAACCACTTTCTCTATGAGATTTTTAGGGTTCAATTTTGGCTAGGGTATGTCCCTTTTTATAGCTACTAGAAACCTTGATTTGAATATTAAAATAGTAATATTTTAAACTGATTCAAATCTATTTTTTATCTATTATTGGAGGCTTCTAGAGTATATCTAGAACCTCTCAAAACTGTCCAAGCATAAGGTGGTTCTAAAAATGCATCCCTTTCTCGACTATTGAACAATTTCAAATCAACCTTACACCCTTAATTAGATCTAATTAATCCAAAATTAATTTCTAATTAATTATTAATTAAATATTAACTATTTATAATTAATATATTAATCATATAATATATTAACAAATCATTATCTATATATATATATATATATATATATATATATATATATATATATATATATCAATCCTAACTATTTTCTGGTTATGAGGGCAACCCAAAAAGCACTATACTTTTATTCATTAAGATTATACCATTTTAGTTAAGACCTTAGACACATTAATCCAATAGTCTCTAAGTTAGATAAGTCTTCATCTACAACTGCATGTATACCCTTTGCATAACTAGTAAAGAGTGCTTTCCGAAGCCATTACCAAACTCTGAATAAATAAGACACCAACCCTAAGATAAGTGATCAACTATTATTTCGTTCTTCAAGATATCGTGTGGAAACGTGACATGGATACGAATCAATCTCATGGTCCAAGGTTCTATTTTAAGGTTTCCTACTTATGTTGATGTCTTTAGACTATGTATTGAAAACATCAACTTAGTCCTTCCTGGGCCCAATACTACAATGTCAA